GAAAGTGACTCCTAAATATTTTTACCTTTTTCTCCCAGGGGAGCGGTTGGCCATAAAGAGATATTTGCCCTAGCTTTCTGCATTGGCGACGACCTTTATAAAGATGTGACGGGTAAGTACTTCGTGTGAAGTGAATCGCCACACTCTTTTCGGGATTTACTTCAATTCTCCATTTGCGGAACCAATCGCCGAGGCGGTTGGCGGCGCTTTGGAGTCGAGTGGTTAGTTGACTAAGGTTGCGGTCTGAATAAAAGAGCGCCGTGTCATCCGCGAAAAGCGCGAGATTGACGTGGGGGTCTTTTGGTATATCGCTCGTGTAGAGCGTAAAAAGTAAGGGTGAGAGGCAGGAGCCTTGTGGAACGCCAGCCGTGAGGCGGCGGCTAGTGGATAGGGCGCCTTCAACTCGATATCGAAAGGAACGGTTCGACAAGAAGGCCTGAATGGTGTGTACAAGCCTGTCTGGCACTTTGAGTGAGAACAGCTTGTAAAGCAAGCCGTTGTGCCAGACTTTGTCGAATGCCTTTGCGACATCGAAGAAAAGAGCCCCCGTGCTAATATGTTTAGGGTGATTTAGGCCTTTTAGGATATGTTCCGTTAGGCGGTATAATTGATCGGGACAGGAATGTCTTGCTCGAAAGCCGAATTGTTCCGCCGGTAGAAGGCCGTTGGAAAACACGTGGTCTTTGAGCCTGTTTAATAGAAGCCGCTCGTAAAGCTTCCCCAGGCAACTAAGGAGGCTGATGGGACGATAACTAGAGGGCTGATTGGCTGGTTTATTCGGCTTGCGAATGCCGATAACCGTGGCTTCTTTCCAGTCGTCCGGAAAGGAACAACTGGAGAGTAAAGTGTTGTAAATGGTCGCCAGTAAACAGATAAGTGGGCCAGGGAGAGCTTTAAGGATTTTATTACTAATATTGTCTGGGCCCGGGGCGGATTTGGGTTTTAAATTTTTGATAATATCTTGGACCTCTTCGGGGGTCACTGAGTTTAATGGATCGCCTTCCGGTGGAAGCGCAGCCCTAGTTTCGATAACGCGGTCCACCTCCGTTAAGTGGGCTGTGTCGATGTGTTCGCGCGATGGCGTACATTGCTGCTCTAGGTTGTCCGCAAGGCATTCGGCTTTTTCGGAGTCATCTAGGGCTAATGAAGTGCTATTAGGCATTGCTAACGGCGGTAGAGATTCGCGGGGCTCTGCTTTCAGACTGCGGGCCAACCGCCAGTAGGCGGTGTGCGATGGCTCGATGTCCTCTAGGAGATTGTCCCACGTTGTATGTCGGTGTTCCGATACACGATCTTTGACTTCTAGCTGAAGGCGTCGAAGTAGGGTTCGGTTCGATTCCGATCGGTATCGGTCGAAGGCGCGTTTGGCTGCATTTTTCTGTCTAATTAGCAGTCTTAGGTCGGGCGGAAAGTTAAACCGTCGGTCGCCCGACAGTTTCACCGTCCGTTCCGAGTCTGTGACTGCGGAAGTAATGGTTTCTCGGAGACTTGCTATCGCTCGATTTGCGTCATCGAACGTAGCTATCGTCTCGGGTAAGTCTACTAAGTCCTGGGGGTCCAAGGCCTTGAGTTTGACCTCAAGGCGATGCCAGTCCACTACGGTTTTGGTCGGAGGGACCGCGCCGGCGTTCTGGCCCAGTTTGCACAGGACCGGCCTGTGGTCTGATTCTAATTCTTGGATTGTCTCTATCGACGCGATGTCGAGGGAGACCTCCTTGAACAACATGATATCAAGAATACTCGGTGTCGAATGCTGGTAATCGTCCACCGTAGGATATCTTGTGGGAGTCACAGGAGCGATTATGCTATAATTTAAATCGTCAGATAAGTTAAAGAGCTGTCTACCGTTGTTGTTAGCGTAAGTTTGGGGGTCCCATGAGCCGTGTTTGCAGTTTAGATCTCCTGCAATTATCACGGAAGGGCCTAAGCTAAGTAGCGTTTCTAAATCGCTTTGTAGAAGAGTTTTATTCCCCGAGAGGTAGGCTGAAACTAGTACAAGCGGCCTGTGGCCGGTGAGCGCTAACCTACACGCGGATGCCTCTATATGTCTTAGCTCTGGGATATCGAGCGGGCTACAGTGCAAGGACCGTTTATAATATATTAAGGTACCGCCCAGACGGTTTGCTAACCGGTCGTGGCGGACCATATTATAATTTGCGATTTTTGGATCGCGTCTGCTAGGTTTCAAGAAGGTCTCTTGCACTAGAAATATATCGACGTTATAATCGCGAAGGAATTCTGCGATTTCGTCCCTTTGGCCCCTAATGCCGTTTGCGTTAAAGTACGAAACAACCAGAGCCCGAGGTTTTAATCTACCTGCGGTTGTACTTTCCATTTTAGTTTTAGTAGCGGTTCTAGGTAACGACGCGGCGAAGCGTGGTTTTATTGCCCGGACTATAAACCTTTATGGTTGATTTGTAAACACCCAAAGGGCGTCTACAAGTTTTTTGTGCTCGTTGAGCGCATTAAGTCGATCGGTGCCACATGTGGCGGCCGATAACTTTGTAGATAGGACGGCGAGCTCTTCCCGGTTTATGCGTTCCAGGAAGCTGCAGATGTTTGCCATTTGGGCAAAAGGGTCGTCTTGGTTCGCGGAAACGACCGGTGTAATAAAATGCACCTGCGGCCTCGGTGCTTGTTGTTTGACAGGCTGCGGTTGGAATGTCGTCGGTCGTGAGGCGACCGGAGGCGCGGCTACCTGCGCGACTGCCTGAGGTTTCGCCCAGGCGTTTACGACGGGTGCGGGCGCGGGAATGTACTTCGCCGGCGCGGATTTCGGGGCCGCGATTTTCGCGAGCGTAATTTTTGCGGGTGCTTTCCTCGCGGGGGTTTTTGGAGCTTTAGCGCAGCCCCTGTAGCTAGCCGGGTGGCCGGTAGTCAAACAATTTACGCAGTCCGGTGGATCTGCGCAATCTTTAGGACGCGTGCAATCTGTCGTGCCGTGGTCACCGATGCATTTGACGCACCTAGGGTGAGCAAAACAGTTGCGGGCTGTGTGGCCATAGTGTTGGCAGTTATGACACTGCGCAACAACGCCTGACTTCCGTGGAGGCTCAACGACGAGTTCGCTAAGCCCACAGAGCCTCTTCAAATTAAAAATTGCCTTACCTTCCGGGGTAGGGTCCAACTCCACCATTACAATGTCCATCGGGACACGGGTTCTGGGGTGACGTAGGCGACGAACGGCGTGCACCGGGTATCCCTGAGTGCGGATGTCGATTTTTACATTGTCGACATCCGACTCTTTCGGGATTCCCTTTATGACTACCCGAAGTTTGCGTTCTTCAGGCAGCGAGTAGGTATGGAAACCTACTTTGTTTTCGCGTAAATATTTAGTGACGCGGCGGAAGTCATCGATGCTATCGAGGTATACACGGATACCTTGATGGGTGTTCTTCGACCGGGGGTCTCGAATATTGTGGCGTTCGAACCACACGCAAATTTGATGCCATTTAGCTTTCTCCTGGATGATGATAGGCGGAGGAGGCTTGGCTTTTCTTTCGGCGGCGTATTCGGGTGCCGGTTGGACTGCCGCGGCCGCCTTTTTGGCGGGCGTCGCAGTGGATCTATTAATTGAGGTGGCGGCCTCGCTTTCGGGGTCGCTATCTACAGCGGGGCGTTTCTTGCCCTTCTTTTTTCGTCCAGTGACGACGGTGAAGCCGTCGTCATTGGGTTTACCGGCGGGAGTTAAATCTACCTCCATATCCGATCCGCCGTCCGAGTATGAGTCGAGTACGACGGTGCACAAGGAGGCCGGGGTAGCTTGCGAGGAAGGCTCGACGGGCGTGTTCGCAGCGGCGGATGTCGACGCGACGGGCGCTTCTTGCGTCGCGGAAGGCAACGGGGTTACGGACGCAGAGGGCGCTGGAGATGGCGGCGATGCGATTGCCGGTGAAGGCGGGCTGTCGTTGGCGTATTCAACGACTAATCGTTGTTCGGATTCGAACGCTAGGTAGCTTTCCCAAATGTCGGGACAGCGTTGTCGGACGAACTCCTCGAAAAGGGAGCCCATCGTAACGTATGTGCCTTTGGGGCTTAGGCCCCGCCGGCGTGTGTAAACTTAATAAGCCTCCCCACCTTGCGGCAGGGAGGAGTGTGCCTAAAAATAACACTTAATTCGCCTGCGCTTTAGGTGCGCTAGGGTGAGTACCTAGCTGTCGCCCAATGCAACAAGCACACAGTTAAAAATTAGGCAATGCCGCCTCTAAGGCGAGAAATGTGTGTAGAATTCTACTTACGGACAGGAACCTGCCTACGAGCACAACACTACACTAACAACTAAACTATTGCACTACTTGCACGAATATTTAAATTGCAACCAAAGTTGCGAGTAGCGTCTAATTCGGGTGGCATGTGCCCTCCGTCTTAGAGAGACGTCCTTTCCGTACGAGAGCACGAAGCGGAATGGCTCTCCTAGTACTTCATCTAATAGCCGTACGATAAATCAACCACAAAATGTACGCATAAACTAATTTAATCGAACGCAATTAAATCGATATTTCATATCCGACTGTGACCAGATGATTCCGGCGCGAGATCTTCCCTCTCGCTCGCACGTCAGCCGCGAAGCCTCCGCGATCATTATCGTTTCCGTGAGCGAGAAACATTTGGCCCAACAATTGAACGTCACGGTTTTATGCCTATTATAAATTAACGTTACGATTACAATCTTTAACGAGAACGAGATAGACAATATGATTACACAGAGCTTATCAACTAAACGTGCTAAGCGATAAAACATTCGACAATAAATCCTCTCCACTAAACTGCCGTCCCGTTCCTAAATATCCAAAACGAACAAAATACTACAGTCATAATCGTGCACGTTTGTCACAAGTCAATTTTTGTTTAGTAACGATAAACAAAACCGTCTTCAAATATCTCGCTCTGTATTCATTTTATAATTGATTTTCAAGAGCTCTCTTCGTATCTCAGGATAGGATGGGGTTGTGACATCGCGCGGGGATCGTGTACACAACGACAGATATATTGCGCAATCACTTGCTCAGTCGTGGTGCATTTCGCAGCACAAACCCGGGTCCACATTGGAAATCAATTGCGCAACTTGAACCCCGGAAGGCGCTGCGTGCTAATCTCTCCCACGACCCGGCCGACCCGCGCGCTGACGTGCATTTGGCGGGAACAACTGACCCGACCATAGACAATTAATGACGATTATCATAGCAATTACAAACCAATAATTAATATGACATCGCGTCTTCGTGTTTAACAAGATTACTAACAGAAAGTGAGTGTGTAAGTATTAATCTTATTACTATAGATAACATTACCATTGAACATCCATACTACTACTATCTAGTTACTGGTTTGGGCTCTAGTACCCCCTAAAAATGAATGGAAGATTCCAAGAATTAAGGACTACGCTACATGGGCTCCGAAAGCGGATTTCGAACCAACACACCCGAGTATCGGATCTCACCGTGCCCACTGAAAAGAGGCAACCGGATATCATTTCCGTCGTCGACACCGGAGTACTTAGAATGCCGATAACATATCTAGCTTTCTAGCTTCCTTTTCCAATTGAAGACTTACTTAATAACTGAATACTTATTCTGATCATTAAGAAGATCATTCTGGTCAATACAAAGAGTTTAACCATCCTTTTGGCAACTCAAATAACATTTGGAAATCCATTTGAATGCCGATTTATTGTATCTACCATCACGCCCGGTTTCTGAAACACTGATCAACGTAGATGTCAACTACTCAGCTGTCAAATGGCTTCTCAAATTTCATTTTAGTTGCCAAAAGGATGGAAGCCGGGCGTCAGTGTTTCAAATAACAGGCGCTAGCTTCACAATTTTTATACCGTATCCCGTTTTCTATGTTGAGGGCAGTAGCACTAAATAATTAAAAAAATAACTCATCAAAAACCAAAGCATTTCTTAAACGACACAACTCACAAAAAGTGACGCTTAAAAAAAATTACCATCTATGTATACTTTATGATGAGAGCTAAATTAAAAATTAAAAAGTATAGAAAATCATTCAAAAGGATACAAAATAACTTAACCAAAAAAAAAATTCATTTCTTAACCGAACCGACAGTTACTCACAAAGTGACATTTAAAAAAACACTGGCAAAACAAAAAAAACTACACTGATCTCCGAAATGGCAACACCTTTTCCCGCATTGTTGTAATCAATAGCGCCTGCGTCCCAAATGGCGAACGCGCTCCCACGATCTCCCGCATAGCAGGATACATAACTCGCGAAGCAAACTCCAAATCATATATCTGCGCTAAGCTCCGTCAGCTTTCTACGCTCCTTAAGGAAACCCGCTCGAATCTCACGGGATAGATATGTGGTTTAAAATTCGAACAATTTTAAGTCTTCTCGTCAAAAATCCATTTTACGAGAATATTTCTTGATAGGTACATTATTGGCACCTAATGCAGAAATAAGAGAAACGCAGAAAAAAAAAAGATACATGTAGATAATATGCGAAATTAATAAATTAATTCTTCCCGTTTCAAATTTAGAACATTCTGGAAAACAAAGCAAATATAATTTTCTTTTGTATTCGAGAGTACTGGCGATATTTACAAATAAGCATCACTAGGGGTACGTCAGAGTGATGCTTCCGAGAAAAAAAAAAACATTCAGCAATTTATCGCAAATGGCGCGAACGCATCAGCTGGCGTTACACCTTTCGCGGTCGTCGGTCCCTTTCTGGTGAAGGTACATTCCGTATCTTGCGTTTCACATCGAATACTTCGGGGAACGCCGATACAGTTAGCCGTTGCGAAGAAATAACAACTTTAACACGACCGCGGAAGTTTGGAAATACGACGAATCTTTCTATATTCGGGCTATCGGTTGATTGTTATGTACATCTCTTCACCTGGAGCCTTAGAAACCACTTTAAAATAAACCTGCTACCACAGACGGAGAGCTCAAATTTCGATGCGCCGTCGCAATACAGAACCTAACGTACCTCAAGCTAAGTAGCAGCTGATTCCAACGCATTGATATACATAAATATCGATAACCTAAAAAAAATCGAGCAGATGTATGTCTTCAATATGTAAAGGAAAAAGTTTTTACACGAAATACAGAAACTTCTATCGCCGTATTCTCTTTGTCTAGTAGTTTAATCGTCAGAGTTGAATAAAGCGGTCGTCGGTTCAAACCTAGCGTGCTATACGGACGTCACGTTTACTATAAGCCCGGCTAAGCTTGACATTTATGTACTTAAAAGAAATGGACTTAAGAAAAAGCTATAAATAGTTGTCAAAAATGTTATGTACTTATATCTTATACATAAAACAATGTCTTTTAGATCCTTTAAACAGATGGCGTTGTCGAAATAAATACCCCATAGACGGATAACCGCCATACTTTATGAATTTAAAAAGGTCCTTGCCCTCCGTTATCTAGAAAAAAAAAACGACGAAATATATTTTTTCAGCGGCTCTTATTATCGCGAGACGAGCATATGCTATATCACTGTCTCTTTCGCCCAATGCAGTCCTTTTCTCGCGTATTGTGAATAAGAACAGCTGTTAGGAACGAGAACGGGATCGCGCGCCGTGCGCGTGCGCATGCCGGATTAGGGCTGTCACTTTGCGGGGTTAATTTTACAACAATTGGATCTTTTTTTGCTATTGGCTCTTGTAATTGGCTACAAATACAGGTTACTAGTGTAAATTATTCATTAAATTTCAACGCTATCTAAAATAAAAACTACAGAGGAGTTTACAAAGGTAGCTACGCGGATATTTAAGATTGCATTTTTTCGAAATACTAATGATAGTAAAATATTTCGAAGATATGTTAAGTGAGCCATTTCTCGATGGGGTGGGAGTCGACTATGCCCTAAGACCCACTTTACAGAGAAGGCCTTTGCCCAGTACATATGAGCTGCCATATATATTATATAGGTTGTTACTTTACTTTAAATGTTTTTTTTTTATTTGAGAAAGTGGCAAACGAGCTGACGGTTCACCTGATGTTAAGTAATAACCGCCGCCCGTGAACAGTTGCAGCACCCGTAGGGTAGCAAATGCGTTGCCACCTTTTAATAAAGTGGGCCCCGGCTACCTCACTCACCGGACGAAACGCAGAAGTGTAACATTTTTACGCCGGTCTTCTGTGAGGTCGTGGTACTTACCCGGACTGACCTGCCCATTCATGCAACAGTTAAAACTGTTGCGTGGCCCTACCACCGTAAAAATATGCATGTATACTTCTTAATTTAACTATTAAAATCCAAAGAAATGCAATTACAACTAAAAGTGCCAACCCTAGAGCAAAACGCATCAATAGCGGGCAGTCAGCTGCTAAACGCGTAAATGGCTCCCGAAATGGCGTTCCTTTTTTCATCTTTTTCCACTCGCGACAAGGTCGATTGCCAGTATCGAAGCGGAAACGGGATTATTCCTATTAAACGAGGTTTCCTTTCGCTCTCCAGTATAGGACCTCCTTTATGCGGAGCTGTTAGTTTCCCTTTGCTTGCTTGCTTTGCTAATTTCTTCGCGATTGTAAAGTGGTGGCGAAGACGCACTTGAGATCATAGGGTCACAGGTTTCAGTACCAGCGGTGCGATTTTAATTTTTCATCGAATTGGCACTGTCACGTTTGAGACTCAAATGAGCCCCATGAAACGGGCGACAGCTTTGAATTTTGTAGCTTTCAGTTAATAAATAAATTAGTTACAAAGAAAGGCAGTTTTGTGATAGGAAATATTTCAAATCTAAATAATATCTTATTCTCAGGTACCAGGGTAAAATAAACAAGAAGCGCTTAGAGTTAATAACAGTTCTGGGGTTCTGAAACACTAGTACATATAAATGTGGGATGGGAGGATAAAAGTTGTAGAAACCGATAAAGGATAGATATATATAAATAATTCTCCATATTTTAATAACTTGTAACGAAGATATAGGATATAAAAAGAATGACTAATTAACATTTTATACGTACTTAATTGCTTAAAGATTATTAAAATTGCAAATTTACCTAATTAATGCCAAGATAAATAAATATTAATAGATATCTAATAATTTATTCACTCTAAAAATATATATTTGTCACATGGCAACATTTCAGTAATATTATAAACGAGATTCTGAGTTTTGGAGCTGGGAATGGAGTAAGCTGTTGACCACATAAGCGGTTACAGTCATCTGAAGACATCCCTAGATTCCATGATTGGTTTTTTTTTTTTCAGAACTTACTTATAAAATACACGAGACCGAATACAGTACAGAAGAAAAAAGCCTTAGGGGCCAAGTATAAGAAGATATGTGCGAAACTAGATTCTATTAAGTGCAAAATTTATCAATTGCTTTATTACGATTGTTATTATGTTACGTTGAATCGATTCGTTCATAAACTACACATTTTTAATTGAATGGTGCGGTAGGGCCGCGCAAGTTTCCTCTGTTGCACGAATGGGCAGGTCCGTCCGGGTGAGTACCACGACTTCACGGAAGACCGGCGTGATGTGGTAGTGTCATACTTCTGCGTTTCGTCTGGTGAGCGAGGTAGCCGGGGCCCACTTTATTAGAAGGTGGCAAAGCATCTGCCATCCTACGGGTGTTGCAAATGTCCATTGGCGGCGGCTGTCACTTACCATCAGGTGAAACGCGAGCTCGCTTTCCATCTTCTCACATAAAAAAAAAACAATAAATTTTAAAACAGTCCTAACCCCCGATGTCCTGCGATGACCGCTTGATATACTCGTAATTAAACTTGTAAGGAGGCTGGTGTATGCCGGATGTCCAGGTTAGGTCGGTAATTGGGCCAATTGGACCATTGGGTCGTTCAATGAGAGAAATTCCAGTCGGCACGGGCAGATGGCCGTGCATCTTGCAATCGCCACCAATTAAAGCATTGATAAACTTAAGTGTGCCCAATAATTAGAAAAGGTGCATGGAACAGCTGTAGTCACCACCACATGTTGGGGGCAGATGGCCGGCGAGACGGCCGCGAAATAGGATCTTATTGCGTAAAGATAGAGCGCATTTTTCCGTGAGCAAGGCGAGTTACGACAGAGCGACATTCTCTGATTTCGGCTTAGATCTGGTCGAAATGCAAAGTGTGGTTGAGAAAAAAAAAACACTCACCGTAAGACAAAGGCTGCACGGTTGCGACCATTGCTCATATACTTTAAAAGCATCTAACCATATTTATTCACTATATATTAAACAACAAATGCGTATAACATCACAAATAAATCAATAAAGAAGCAGAAACGACACATCAATAATCAACAAAATCCAAATTCGAAACAACTGACATTAAATAAACCAAAATGGCGTCGTAAGCGCAATGGTTCTAATCTACCGTCAATTTGAAAAGACCGGAAAAAAGTGACGAATGCGTTTCCTTGTATTATGTACCTTTTCCAAGGCGTAGTAAGAGGAACTATTTTTATACCTTCGTTTTTACTAAATAAAACCATAAGACAAAATAAATACTTAAGTGTTATGAAATAAGCACATTACATAAATAACGTTAAGTTATTTTCTGACGTATAATTAAAATATGGTTATCATTTACAGGGACATCACTCGGATTAATATCAGATGTATTAAAAAATAAATAACATTTATGAATTGAAGCATTATTAAGTAGTCGAAGATTTGATATGCGAAACAGTTCACAAGAACATGCATTTATTTATAAATTAAATTTGGACATACAATCGTACTTTTCAGGAAGGATAATATCACTGTCAATGAATTATGTATCGGACATTCGACACCTTCAGCAGATTTTGATGAATTTGATTTTTTTTTAAAACACCGATAAACATGCAACTGTAAATCAAAAAATGAGTTTAACGTGTTCATGTGCCGACGGCGGTTACAGTATAAAAAAACGAGGAATTGTTTTTCAGGGCCAGATATACAAAATAAGCTTATCCCTGCAATCTATTAGCTATATTATGCTTTACGAAGTGCTTTTTGTATAATAGGTATACAGTACCTGGAAGACCGAGCTTTGCTCGGTTTATTTTTTTTTTTGTAAATCGTGTATTTTGGAAATTACATTCAGATACAAATTACTGAATAATTAAATATGCATAATATTTTTCGATCTTACCGACCTAATAATAAGAAAATATGAAGTGGTGTTTCTCACAAAAGAAAAAACTTTAAAAAAAAAGGAAAAAAATAATAAAATCATCTGGATCAACAAAAAATAAAAAATAAAGAAAGCAATGATCTGGAATCGAAAAAAAAGTAAAAAAAAAGAGTGTGTAAATGATCGTGACATTAGCCACGGCCGTCTGTTTTGTGGCCGCCCGATTACCGACCGAGCTATTATATTTATTCGAATGATATTTTTCATTCCCTAAAAACAGGGATAAAAGGTCATTTTCTAAAAATTAAACCTAGCTAGATCGATTTTTCGCCCCCGAATCTACGCAAATACTAAATTTCATGAAAATCGCTGGAGCCGTTTCCGAGATTCCGATTATATGTATATATATATATATATACACAAGAATTTCTCGTTTAAAGGATAAGATATTATTGGAAATATAAGTTGGATGCATAGGAACTGGAATCGATTGGCAGTACAAGCTTGTATTGATCTCTGATGTCCTAGGATATTCTATTAACATATCGCGATAATAAGAGGAATTATAATAACTATGCCAAACTATAACATGTAGTAGTGATCAGGATTGCATAATGTCAACGCTTATTAATTGTTAAAGTAGCGAAAGGAGACAAAGCCGTCGAATTGGCAATATTAGACAACAGAAAAAGTTATGCGACTACGTATTACGGTATCGGCGACGGATGCTATTGATCGATTTAAGTTATTTGTAACATTATTATGTATTAGCACTAAGTCCAAAATTGTATAACCAAAAGGAAAATAAAAATTATTATTACGAGTTAGCTGATTAACAAATATTACGAAAAGAAATCGATAAAAATATTGTGATGAATTGAATGTATCGATAAAAAATCATAATTAAAACGGCGCATATGCATACGTAAATGTGTAAATTTTAGAGTTAAATCCTGTAACGGCCTTTTTTATATACCTAGCCGGTAAAAACCGTTACTCGCGTCCAGTACAGATAGGGTTGATAAGTTCGATAACAGAGTTTGCAAACGGTGCAGCGAAAAAGTTTAAATTAACCGTGTACTTTCGACGTGTAAAACATTAGGGTAAATAAAATTTTGTTCATAAAAATTCCGTTTAATTTTTACGAGCTTTTTTACACGTCGAAATCGAATCTGTAAAAATGCAAATCTGTTGCAGTCTGGTAGAATACAGTTAATTAAAAAAAAAAAAGAGAGTTCGAGCACGAAATTTGCAATATCCCTTACCGAGGCCCATTTTCTTTTTGATCTTCTTCAGCACCTTCATCTTGGAGCCCTTCTTGTCCTTGACCGGCGTGGTCTCGGGCTCCGGGAGCGCCATCGGGGGCAGCGCGAGGCTCGGGGGCGGCATCGGAGCCCCGTGGCCCGAAGCCCTGGGGCAGGCGGGGCAGTGGCAGGCGCCCCTGGCCTGCCTCACACTCATACAACCACTGACACCCATCATCGGTCCCGTTTCCCGTTAATACGTTACAAAGCGTACCGATTCTAATTCATGTCAGACCGCGGACAGTCACGATGAAACGATTTACTTCGGACACGAAGTTTGTGCGCGTGTTTTTAATCGTTCGGCGATAGTCACGAAACGCGGCGTGTTTGTGTGCGGTGTGGACGCGACGCGAAAGACATCCGCTCGCTGCGACGGTTCGCGGCGGAGTGGCGGCGAGGGCGACGCGCGCCAAGGGCTCGCGGTTGCGTACGCACGAATCCCTTTAAGTAGGTGGGCCACGGGTCCGGTGGGAATTTTTGGGATTTCTACTAGGACATTGATACAGCGAATATACTATATAAAGTAAAAGCCTGAACATCTTTTGATGTATATAATTCATCTGTACGCGTGTATGTCACTGCACTCCTCCTTAACGGCAGGACCGATTTTAATGAAATTTTTTGTGTGTATTCAGGTCGATTCGTGAATGGTTTAGATTTATAATTCGGTCCACTACAACTTTTTTTCATATTTTTATTTCTAAGTTGTCGAATTTAAGTCGAGTATTTACAGGAAAACGTCTATCCGGTCCGCTAGTATTATTGTACGTGATATACGCTTGGCGAAGAGTTACTCATTGTCAATCCATCGAATCAAATAAATTATACTAAATATGTATCGTCGGAACGAAAATGTTACGTAGGATTGGGCGTAAATTCCTACAAATCAGAATTAGCCTTCCAAATATTTTTTTTTGTCAAATTAAGACTCATCGTCATCCTCCTGCCCTCGTCCAGTAAGGTCAGGTTGGCAAGCATGTGAATTATGTCGCAAGTGGTTTTGGTTAGGTTCTACGTCAACCCTCCTTGGTAACAAAAACCCAGACCCTGAACCATGGGGACACACCTAAAATACCTGTCTCGGGTTTTAATTGAACCCATTGCACCCGGTGGTGAAGCCAAGCTTGGCAACTGCACCACCGAATCAATTAATACCAAAGAATAAAAACAGGGACTGTCCCCACTGTACTGCTATCTTACACACCCTATTTTACACCGCCCATCCCGCTCTTTCGTGTGTAGTGCAAGCGAGACGGCGCGCCGTGGTTTTCAGCTGTCGCGGAACAAATGCCGGGCGGGGCTTGCGCGTATCGCTTACACGCTGAGCACACCTTTGGACCAACTGCGCCAAAATCAAATGTGCAAAACGCTTCCAACATTCGACGGCCAACATTTGTTGTTCGAACCAAATATCATAAAAAAAGTAGAATAAAGTAACAACCTACATATGCCTGTTGTTTTTTTTAGTATTAGTTGTTATAGCGGCAACGGAAATACATCATCTGTGAAAATTTCAACTGTCTAACTATCAAGTTTTATGAGATTCAGCCTGGTGATAGATGGACAGACGGAGAGACAGACAGACAGCGAAGTAAAAGACAAATTACCCCTAAAATCATCGCCGCGTGTACAACAAATTAGAAATAAACTCGTTCATAAAAAAAATCGATAAACAATATATTTTTTGTATACGACTACATTTTACAAACAAAAGCTTTTATTCTCTTGGATGCCCTTAGGAGATGAATTTAAAAAAAATAAACTTGTCTCAAACGGAATATTCCTTTAAGAATTTACTGAAACAGTTATGATCAATTCGTGTCACATTAAATATAATTATATACATCATATACGTAAAAGTAAAACCGATCTGCAAGCAACCAAGTACTAGGACAACAGCAATAAGTAAAGTAAAGTAAAGTAACAGCCTATACATGTCCCACTGCTGGGCAAAGGCCTCCTCTATACAGAGGGTATCAGGGCATAGTCCACCACGCGGCCCTGCTGCGGATTGGCGGACTTCACATATCTTCGAAATATATGTATTTTTTTGTTATTATTTCGAAAATATGCAGGTTTCCTCACGATGTTTTCCTTCACCGTGGAGCACGTGATAACCAATGGTCACTGCACATTGCAACAGCAACGGTCTTCCTAAATTAAAAAAGGTTAAAATAAAAAAAAAGCATTTGATTTGATTTGTTTAGGAATAACAGGATATAGTTTTGTCCCGTTTTCTTAAATTTTTCAGATTGGGAACGGAATTTTATTTAGGCAATTCAATCAAAAACCGAAATATGTGTAGCCTTTTTAATGTTACTAAGTTTTGATTGTTTCTGGAATAACTACAATTTTCAATAACTGTTATTTTATGAACATTGTTGTTGTTTAATTTTCTCGCTCCCCCTGTGATTATGTTTTATTGTTTTAATCGAAATAATTTAATATCAAATTGACATTTGCATGCCGAAGTAAGTAGGTTGCACCAATTTAAAAAAAATATATTTTTCAAATTACCATATTCTACTACCATATTCTGGCAATAAAGGCATATTTATTCATTCAATCACATTGATCGAAATGATTATGTGATCATAGTACCAAAGACGTTTCTGCCAATATTGCGTACTCAATATTTTCTAAATTCTGCCAACTCTACGATTAAGTTCTAATTAAGTAATTTACAAGTTGGTTAAATTAACTGGAATTCCGTTTCGTTAATTACGAAGACAAACCAACGAATTTGAGTTACGCGGAAAGGGATAAGAAACTAAATTACCTAAAACTAATTAAAATATAGATTACCGAAAACTAAAGCTAGGGTTATGGAAATTAGCGTAGTTAATGACGGACAATAAAGGCCGTGGTTGCTTAGTGTTACAATATTTGTCAAAATTCAGCCACTTTATCCGCGGGGTCATAGAAATACTTATGCCGTGTGGAAATCGAACCAACGACCCCGAAGCCAATAGCTTAGCCACTGTGCCACAGGGTCATAATTCTATGTGTAATTGATACCTTTCGATGAAGTTATTTTGAGAAATTTTCCCACGGTTTATTCTAGTATTATCTGAGTTTTACGTTCTAAAATTATACAAATACTAGCTTTTCGCCTGCGGCTTCGCTCGTGTTGAAGAAACATTTACAACACTTTTCCAATTAAAAATGTCCTTTCTCAAGCTCTAGACTATCTGTGAACCAAATTTCATTTAAATCCGTTCAGTAGTTTTGGCGTGAAAGCGAGACAGACAGACAGTGTTACCTTCACATTTATAGTATTAGTATGGATAAATCACCATTCCTCAATCCTTGAACTCGGATTAACGAAGATCACAACACAACCCTGCTCAATACTTTCCAACAAAAAAGAGGAAAAATCATTTTGAAGTTATACTTCTTTTGGCGCGTTAGGGAAAAAATGATGAGAGTAAATTTTTATGATGCGCGCACACACACTCACGAAAAACCGACACCCTGAAGTTAGCTACACATCTGTTTCCGTGAGAACTGACAACTGTATTCACGATATTTATTTTGTGATATTTAAATAAATTTTATTGAACTAGATAATGCGTTATAATAAAACTTTCAATGTATTAAATACTTACCTTTTTTCTATTGTTAGTGTCGTTTTGTCTACAAACGTAGAATAATCATCAATATGGCAAAGTGATTTTAAATGTATTACACACAGCGATTGTCGAATTTCCAACTCCTAAAAAGTTTGAAGCCCTTTAGGGGCTTCTCGGTCGAATATTCATTTTCTTTTTTTTTCTTTCCTTTACAGTTACCTAGTTTCTTTAACAGAAAGCGTTTGCCCTGCCGTGGTAATTTGCGCAAATGTCGCAGACACATTTTTTTTTTAAAAAACACTGCCCTTACTTTAGGATAATATTATCCTGTGTTGTAAAGGACGTTTTACAAACATAAATTTCACGCGGACAAACACCCAGATGCGAAACAACTATCTGTGGGTCACACAAATAGTTTTCCCGTGTGGGAATCGAATCGACGACCCCCCGACGCCGAAGCCAATACCTTGGCAACTGCGCCACGGAGTCATCAAACATTCCGAACGGTCTGTCACACTCATACGTTTACTTGGGAAATTAAGCCACGACCCTCGGCGCGGGAGCCGCCTGCCAAGGAGCTGAGCAGGCGGAGTCATCCGATGTAAAATCGAGTGTTCAAAGATCTCCTATTGAATCTTGTCTACTTTCGGTGAAAGGTTTCTAAACGCGGCTTACGGCAGACGGGTCGGTAGAAATCGTCACGAAAACTTTTTTATTTTATTTTATGCGAGAATATGACAAGCGAGGCGGAGGTTCGCCCGATGTTCAGTGATAACCCAGTTGCACAGCGCCACGGGTTGTTGTTTCGATTCCGGACAAGCGTTCCCATGGCGATAACTTAAGTATGCGCTTTTGTCTTGGCCTTATAGTCGCTACCGTAAAAACAACGCAGTGCGTTCTAATGACATCTAGATTGGTGATGTCAGGTTCGTTGACTGTGGGTTCGATTTTTTTTTAAGTGAAAGCTTGCCAAGCGAGCAGGCGGCTGATGTTAAGTGGAAACCGCTACCCATGGACATCTGCTACACCCGAGGGTTGCAGATGCGTTGACAACCGTTTGAAAATTGGGCTCCGGCCACCTCGCTCACCAGACGAAGCGCGATAGTATTATAGTTCCACTTTACGCCGGTCTTCTGCGAGGTCGTGGTACTTACCCGGACGAGCCTGCCCATTCGTGCAACAGCCGAGGCTGCAGCGTGGCCCTACCGCCGTTAAAACTGTCAAACGGGACAGCTATTTGTGCGACCGACAGACGATAGTTTCGGATCGCGGTAATCTTTTCCAAGGAGGATTGTAGTCAGGCAGCCTTTTACGGCTGGTCGTAAACAGTTTAACCGTGAACATGTTACACACGGTGACCACGCATAGATGGGCCAAGGGCGGATTCGATCCCCGCACGGGACATATATTTGTGTGACCCACAGATAGCTGTTTCGCATCTGGGCGTTTGTCCGCGTGAAATTTATGTTTGTAAAACGTCCTTGCAACACAGGATAATGTTATCCTGAAATAAGGGCAACGTTTAAAAAAAAAAATCTAAAATCTAATCTAAAAAGGAGAAGTTCGCAACGAACCCACGACCGCGGCGCCGGAGCCAACGGCTTAGCGACTGCACCGATGGATCATATGAGACTAAACTAGATTACGGAGTCCGGGCCGTTGACGTGGACTCCGTAGCGAAAATCCGAAATAAGAGGCGAGCAGCGATTGGATTCATTCGACAAATGCAGTCGTCCCGACGAAGACATCGGCCAGAAAGCGGGTTCGATAGAGCCAAGGTCATCAGATCTCGACGGGAGCGGCCTCAGAACGGTGGGGTAATTGCTCAATACCGAAGAGCTGGGGACAAAGGTCCGCGGCGCGCATTCCGCCGCCTAAATGTCGACGGGGCGCGGGCCTATTGCAATTCAGCGGGGTGACCACGCGGGCCGCATTCCCGGGACTGTCCGCATTTGCAGACGAATCCCTTAGGCCTGGTAGGGTATTCAAAGGTGTTTTTTGTCAACATAACCTTAATTATTCTTTACGAAAAAATGATTCGAACACCAGTCTAAAGCTTATGTTTGCGCCATTGTCGAGAAATAGACAGGTAGAAGGAAGTTAATTTTTATTAGATTTCATTTAAAAAAACTTTGATTTGAAAAATTTTCTTGATAGACAAAACTGAATTTTACCGTTAATCTTGTCACGGCATAAGATGTAGTACATGCGGTCGGAGCCGCGGGCGAAAAGCTAGCTAGATATAAAAAAAAAACTCGTAGACATTAGAAAAACACTACGTTCGTCACACAATATCATTCCCGTAGGCCATCGGCCCAACTGGTATGTATTTGTAAGTCGATGGATGCTCAGGGTCGTGCTCCGTGACGGTCTTTGGGGCTTATTCAGCAACGAACTCTTACTTTTATTTTATTTCATTTTTATTTATTTTTCTTTTTAAAACATTGCCCTCACTTTAGGATAACATTATCCTGTGTTGCCAGGACGTTTTACATACATAGATTTCACGCGGACAAACGCCCAGATGCGAAACAACTATCTGTGGGTCGCACAAACAGTTGTCCCGTGTGGGAATCGAACCCACGACCCCCGACGCGGAGGCCGATACGTCGACGACTGCCACAGAGTCACCGCAACTCTTATGCTGAAATTATGATGACGCTGATACTAGTACACAATCACGTTTAGACTGTCGTGTCGTGTCTTTCTCTACTTCACCGGGACTTAGCTTCGGTGGGGCCACGCAACGGTACGCCGTTGCACGAACGGGCAGCTCCGTCCGGTTAAGTGCGGCGACCCCACCGAAGACCGGCGTAAAGTGGAAGTGTTATCCTTCTGCGTTTCGTCTGGTGAGCGAGGTGGCCGGGGCCGACTTTGTTGAAAGGTGGCAACGCATCTGCAACCGTACGGCTGTTGAATGTCCATGGGCGACGGCCATCGCTTAACATCGGGTCGAAATTCAAAATCATTTATTCGTCGACATAAGAAACTTGTATTACACCTATCGATAGTCATATTTCTTTTTCTAAATCTACCATCGTTTCGTAATGAGGCTCCTCTGGGGGAGAAGAAACAGGCGAAAGGAACTCCGTAGGTATCCTCTTTTTTGTTATATTGAAGGGCGAACCACTGCTTTGATGACTCCGTGGCGCAGTTGCCAAGGTTTTGGCTTTAGATTCGGGGGTCGTGGGTTCGATTCCCACACGGGACAACGGTTTGTGCGACCCACAGATAGTTGTTTCGCATCTGGGCGTTTGTTCGCGTGAAATCTATGTATGTAAATCGTCCTTGCAACACAGGATAATGTTATTCTAAAGTGGGGGCAAAGTTTTTTTAAACAAGAAAAAAAAAGCTCGCTCGCCACGTTCCCGCGTGGAAAAAAAAGCTGTCCACACTCCTGGACCATGCCCGTGGACACCCCACTGGGACAGATGCGCGGCCGCACCTTGCCGCGGAGGCTGCGCCGCGGGCATCTGTTGCATCGGCGGGGGCCCGTTGACCCCGCATTCGTCGGCATTGTCGCGGCGGCCATGTCCGGAAGCGACACTTCCGGGGGGGGGGGGGGGGGGGGGGGGGGGGGGCGGGGTGCACCCGACGGCGCAGCGGCCGCGGCTACCGTCGGCCACGGGTTCGAAGCCCAACTGTCCGGATAGAGCCGGCTTTAGACTGCATATAAGGGGACACGTGGGACATATAGGCCGTTACTAGACTAGATAAGTACCATTTCAAGCGTTGAGCATCCACAGAAATGGCACCATGCGCTGTGCATGTTGCAAACGAACTCTCGACGCATTAAAAGCAATTAGCACGTAATTGACTCAGCAGTTAAGGCAGTTAGAAGGTCCCGGGGTCGACTCCGGCGATGGGAGGTCGACGACCCGCGTGACGTCACCACGCACCCGACTTCACGGCGGTTAGACATCCCAAGTCTTAAGTACCAGTATGCTAGATCAAGTCCTCCGTTTGATATTTGATTCGCGGCCGAATTTTTGCGTTAACTTAGCTAGTTACCCGCGATACGTTTGCGTTGTTTATTATATTAACAATGTATTGTATCTATGCCCAGCAAGAAATGCACATCGCTGAACATGTGGTGTGCTTGTAAAAATCATTGCTTTATTTAAATAATTTTACACAACATTTTTTTAGATAATGCCCAAAGGTTTAAGAAGCTTAGACGAACCAATTGAAATATATCCAGTAGTTTCTCCGTACGCGCGCACCATTTCATTTATACTGAGAAAAACTTATTGGCAAGACTTCACTTGACAAATAAACTAAGTTTATGTGAGTTTACTTTAACTTTCCTTATTATTTTTTTTAAACATTGCCCTTACTTTAGGATAATGTTTTTTTAAGAGAAAATCATTTTACAAACATTAATTTCACGCGGACAGACAGCCAGAAGCGAAACAACTACGTGGTGGGTAACACGAATAGTTGTCTCGTGTGGGAATCGAACCCACGACGCGCGACGCCGAAGCCGATACCTTGGCAACTGCGCCACGGAGTAATAATATGTATCCACTTAAAAACAAATAGACTTATGCCTCTTTTCACCATCGACCCGTCACTTTAAGGGACACCTAGAAAAATTTATTCTCAACGGTGTGGCAACCAGCCGTTTAGCTTAGAAACTGGTCAAGTGCGAGTCGGAACTCGCGCACGAAGGTTTCCGTACCATTATCTGTAAAAACGGCAAAAATATCATATCTGTTGTATGGGAGCCCAACTTAAATATTTTTTAATCTGGTATTTGTTGTTATAGAGTCAATAGAAATACATCATCTATATAAATTGCAACTCTCTAACTAACACATGAGATACAGTCTGGTGATAGACGGACGGACGGACGCGATCGCAGCGCCACCGAGGCACAGCCTCCGTACCATATGCCAGACACGTTGGCGTAGTAACAGATTCGTCTCGAGGCAAGGGTAACCTTCAAAAAAACAAGTCGCATCAGCTGATCGAAAATGTTCATATGCTGTGAGTTAAGACAAACTCAACCTTAAAGCTCAGTCATAGAAGCTGTTTTAAGATACCTTCATATTCTATCTAGACCATTTCTATCGAAACACCTTCTGCCATACACGGAGAATGTATTTTGGTTAAAAATTGTTTTTAACAATCGTAATGTGAACAATAAATACATATTCAAAATAATTAGTAAAAAAAATATTACACGTTTCAACACACAGTAAAGAATGTAACATTTTTATATTTTGAATTATTTATAAAGCGCCATTTTATCTTTTAAATTAAATTGAGTTACATATTTTGTAAGGTAACTTTGTAAGGTTACTTTGTAAGGTAGACGCCATTCAACCCATATTTATGATAACAGAACATTTGCAAAGTATTTTTTTCTTGTTATTAAACCATAGACAATGTATCTTCTATGTAGCGACGACATATTTATTCATTTGCAACATTATTAAAAGAAAAAAAAAACAATAAAATTCAATTTAGCAACGGGAACAGACGCTATGCGCGGAATGCATTCGATTCGGCGTTCCACATTTGAAAAACGCCCTCGCGAGGACAACAACAAGCGACTGGCAGGAAAGAGTGCGTTAAGAAAAAAAAAAAAACTTGTCGCTCGAAACATCTTTCCGCGGGGGCGTTCGTACTGTCGACCCTATTTCTAACGCCACTAGGCTCACAATCGCAAATCTCGAACGGCAAAGGTGCACATTTTCCGAAGTGTATACTGCATTTGTGGAAAGGGCGCACGGGAGCGTTCGGCCAGCAACTAGGGATGCCGAAATAATATTGGTATATCGATATTTTTTGCCGATATTTTGATCCAATATAGATATAAAATATACAACATCGAAATCGTATCGAAAAAGATATTTATTCAAATTCGATTCCGGGACAGAGTGCGCACATTCAAATATTTTATGCTTACCATAAATTTTTTGTTTTTTTGGAGAACAGGGCCTAAAAATAAAATATAGATATATCGAGGTCAATATTGATATTTATATAAACATCGATATATGGATATATTCCTTCACCTTCGGCATCCCTACCAGCGATGCCTAGGCAGATGGCGGGGCGGCGCGTGGCGGGCCCGGGCCAAATGGCGCTGCACCTGCCGAAGAAAGTCGACTACGTTGCGGGCGAACAGCATGGCGACCTTTATTTTTTTTATCGGCACACGGGGGCAACGATCCCCGGGTGGATGGAGCCTTTCCAATATCTAATGTCGCCCTAATGATGATCACCAACTAGCAATAACGCAGGCTGGGTTGTATTGCCCTCTCGTTCGCACCGCATCACGAGCGGCGTACGTTCTATCTCACTTTTTATATCCATAGTTTTTTTTTTTTTTTTTTTTATTAAACTTTGACCTTACTTTAGGATAAAATCATCCTGTGTTGAAGGGACGATTATACAAACATAAATTTCATGTGTATAAACACCCAGATGCGAAACAGCTATCTGTGGGTCACACAAATAGTTGTCCCGTGTGGGAATCGAACCCGCAACCCCCGACGCCGAAGCCAACGCCTTGGCAACTGCGCCACGGAGTCATCAGGACGTAGACAGGATAGATGTAGACGTACAATCGCGAATATTCACACAACTATTTCTAAATTTGATATACACAATAGAACTATTTCTTCGCTCGACTGACAGAGGGTATCGTTTGCACCGGGGTGTTAGCGGCGATGTCCCATTCTGCCTCGCTCAGTACAGTCGCGAACATTCACGAAGCTATTCGTGATTGAAATTTGTACTGGACGGTACTTCCGTGGTAAAAACTTGACATCTATGTCACCACCACGAGCGCAGTGCGATAGGGATGTCAACAGAGCCTTTGGATAAGAACCGGAGACCTCACCGAAGACATACATTCGACAACAAACCACTAGGTAAACCGACCAATTAGAAGCAGTAGGTAGTAAGGATTACTCCACTTAAATACTATTTTATTGTATTTGTTGTTATAGCGGCAACAGAGTTACATCCTGGTGACAGACGGACAGACGGACAGATAGCGGAGTCTTAGCAACAGAGTCCCGTTTTATCCTTTGGGTACGGAACCCTAAAAACCACAAACAAATAGTTTGGACAAAATGGCAAAAATTACATTCAGGGCAAAACCAAAGATTGATTTACAACAAAACCTGTTGACCTAGAGACGACCGGTACAGACTTATGTGATCCTGGTAATCACAGAAGTCAGTTACGGTGGTAAGGCCACACAGCAGCCTCGGCTGTCGCACGAATAGGCAGGCTCGTCCGGGTAAGTACCACGACCTCACAGAAGACGAGCGTAAAGTGGAAGTATAATACTTTCGCGTTTGGTCTGGTGAGTGAGGTGGCCGGAGCCCAATTTTCAAAAGGTTGTCAACGCATCTGCAACCCTCGGGTGTAGCGGATGTCCATGGGCGGCGGTATTCACTTAACATCAGTTGGACCGTCTGCTCGCTTGGTAACTTTTCACAAAAAAAAAAAAAACGAAATCATCCGCTATGCGGCAAACAATATAGTTTCATTAAAACTTTTTCCTGCTCCATAAAACACTAAGTGTGATGATGCGAATCAATTCAAATTTAAATAGCGGATTTGTATCCTAAACATCACGGTTCATGAGATACAGCCTGGTAATAGAATACAACCGTCTATCAAATACTAGGGCCCGTACGTGAAAAAATAGATAGTACGTATTTTTTTATGCTGTATCATAAAAAAATAAAAACAAAAAATTTTGTGCCCAAAAATTAAAAAATTATGTTAAGGGCGAACAACCCTTATCACTTAATGAAAAATAGATAGTAGCCGATTCTCAGACCTACTGAATATGCATATAACAATTGATAAAAATCAGTAAAGCCGTTTCGGGGGAGTAAGGTAACTAACATTATGACACGAGAATTTTATATATAAGATATTAAAGGTGATAGGGAAGATTTGTGCGCAATGAAGGAAAGGACAACCGCAAATTCGACCGCAAATTCGACCGCCACCTCGACAACATCTGCATCTGGAGCTTTTTTTTTTCTTTATTAGGTCTACAAAACTGAATACAACCTTTACATAAGTTTATATAAGCTTCCAATTATTCCAAACACAAAAGTGCATTCTTCTAGATGTAGACACAGCATTTAAATCGAACAGAAAAAGGACAATAGGTAATACAACTTATCTTAATAACTAATATAAACAGTTAATATAAACATTAAATTTAAATGGGAAAAACTAAACAAAAACTAAATAGAAAACAAATAAAACAAAATAGCTTAAACTTAAAAAAAATACATTACTTAAAAAATACTTTACTTTAACTTATTATTTATTTATGCCAATACTTGAATCCTGAAGTGGCTACGGAGAAGGCGCCTTGCAGTTACTAAGGTGGGCGTTCAATTTATGTAATGAACGCCCTTTCATTTACACCAGCATCCTTTTTACAGTCCGGGATCGAAGGGACACAAGCCTCTTGAAATTATCTAGTCCATTATCGACCACCTTATTATTTGGTCTTATTATTCTTCTTACCATTTGGTCTTGAGTCTTAGTGAACTCTAAAATTACTCCAAAATCGGCCAATTGGGAGCAGTGATTACAACAGGGGGAGATCCTTTGTAATCCCCCCCCCCCCCCCCCCATTTCATGTCTATAAGGGTGGAAAGACAGGATGTCGCATCGCTCTGAGCTATTCTCAGCAATCCACGAAGTTTTCGCGACATTTGTCCGAAACAGAAAACGTCCATAAAAACCGGCCAAGTGCGAGTCGGACCCGCGAGGGTTCCGTACCGTCATCTATAAAAACGGCAATAAAGTAATGTCCGCTGTATGCCCCACTCAAATGTTTTTTTCATTCTGTTCTTTAGTATTTGTTGTTGTAACGGCAACAGAAATACATGATCTGTAAAATTTCAACTGACAACTATCCCGGTTAAAGAGATACAGCCTGGTGACAGACGGACAGACAGACAGAAAACGGAGTCTTAGCAACAGGGTCCCACCCTGTTGCTAAGACCCGTTTGGGTACGGAACCCTAAAAACAGAGTGGACGTTTACGTGTTAAAAACATCGTTAGCACGGACGACACTAGTGATTTGCAAGTATCAAGCGCCCAGTTAAGCGGTTAATAACATTTCAACTAAGGCCTAACTCGATTGTTTCGTGTAAATATCCAATTATGTTAAAGTTCATAGATAACATTTTATCGGTATAAGGTACAAAAAACATCGCATGTAACATTTGAGCGTGGACGACGACAGACAGACAGACAGTGGAATCTTAGTAATTGCGTCTCGTAGTAGTCTTTTTGGGTACGGAACCATGGAAACAAGTAGGTATGATGATTTTTATGTAATATTTTTTTTTATTAAGTTTTTACAGTGCTATGAACGAAGATTCGAACCCACGTCTTCCGCAATCGCTCCCAGCCGCTGCAACAACTAAACTAAATGGCTGATTAAAAACATAACGAAGATCTCAACATATTTTATCTACATTGTTTTTTCGCATCCCAAGCGATACGGTATATTTGTCATATAACAAATGGTCCAACAGAGCTCTTTATTCGAAAACGACGCCGGCATCGCCAGCGGCGAAGCCTAGTGCGTGGGCTCCTTGGCAACTATTTGGCGAAAAGAGAGAAAAAAAAACATTCACGCAAAAAAACTACAGGTAAATTGGGAGTATTTCTTCGTATCGAAATTCGCCCTTATTGCGTACGGCGTAAGGTCCTTCAGATGTCATTGTCGCGAATTGTATAGGTTTTTAGTTAACAGCTGACAGTCAGCTGTCGCTCGGACAATGCGCCCGTTTAGAAGTTGGACGTTTTGAACCTTAATGCATATACAATAGGGCGCAATGTCGAATGACTCGGACGTAAGCCTCCAAGTACTTGTCGGTCGTAATAAGCGGCACTAGTCATTTTCCACGGATCCGCGCGCGTAGATGAGTTCAGGACACTTCAAATATTTCTTATCACCTTCTTCTCTCTTTCGCTCTTATCCAACCTCGGTAAGGTATTTTTTTGTCAACCTTCGTCGCGAACAAACAACCAGATCTTGAACAATTATCTGTGGGTCGCGGATATACTTGTCCCGTGTGGGAATCGAACCCACGACGTCGACACTAAGTTTTAGGAACTACGCCACTGAGTCATCTATTTCGTATCGCCATCGATGACCTAAATATTCCTAATTCAAAACCTTTCATAAATATTACCTAGAGATTCTTCAGCTCTTCCTAATCGACTTATTCTAAAGAATATAGGCCCATTTACACGATGCCATTTTCTTGTACATACAAGAGCAATAATTGAATGCAATAAATTGCGCGCAATAATTTGTTAGACCATTTGTTGTTTAGACCATGCAACTCATTTATTGCTTCAATTTAATTGTATACAACAGGCAAGAAACTTGCACCGTGTAAATGGGTCTTATAAGTTTTCAACAGATTTGGTATTGTTTAAAAATCAAGAACAAATGGTATTTGTTAAGTGGCTCCTTAGAATGTCTACGTACAAAGGAACAACAGTAATTTTTCCATTATTATTTTTTTTATGTGAAAAGTTTCCAAGCGAGCAGACGGTTCACCTGATGTTAAGTGAATACCGCCGCCCATGGACATCTGCTACATCCGAGTGTTGCAGATGCGTTGACAACCTTTTGGAAATTGGGCTCCAAACGCGAAAGTATTATACTTCCACTTTACCCGGGTCTTCTGTGAGGTGGTGGTACTTACCCGGACGAGCCTGCCCATTCGTGCAACAGCCGAGGCTGCTGCGTGGCCCTACCACCGTGTATATATTGCCATGTAGTACCAACACCCATGTTTGGTGTATTATATCTTTTTCCTTTTTGGTTATTTTTTAAAGATGCAACGCATTCACACCGCTTCAGTGGCAATTGGGGATAGAAATTTAATGATCACATTCATCACTTATATTGATAAGTGATGAATGTGATCATTAAATTTCTCTTTCTTTCTCCCGCCTTACCCCAACTAGGTGGAGTCGGCAAAAGTTGTACATCACATCGCCAATGGTATTAGCTTAAGACAACGCTCTTTGGGGGAAAAAGTACACCCGGATCCGGAAATCTGTCAACATATCTGTGGGTCAAACAAATACTCGTCCCGGGCGGGGATCGAACCCACGACTCACGGCGCCGAATGCAATGGCTTATCGACTGCGCCACACGGTATCATTTACCAGTCTACGATGTGGTTTACTGCCTAGGC